AAATTAAAAAAATTTTTAGATATTCTGAGCATCCTACTTACGTATCTGTAACTCTTATATGATTTTGAGTACATTCGCCCTAGCCGAACCATCCATGATTTCAATTTCGCGCTAAAATATGTTGAATGCATAAGCTGCATGAACTACCTCAGCTCAAGAGATACTTCATGTGGTCTCATGCATCGGAAGAGGCGGGATCATGCAATTGGCGGTAGGTTGAATCATGCAGCGAGTGTGCATAAAGAGAAACATAATGCACCCTAGGTTATTTGATGTTGTTCAACCATGCATGGTTGGCAGTAATGGCAGCCGTGATGGTAGTTATCATGGTTACTATCGTGTTTTATCTGTGTCCGTTGTCGAGTATCATTGTCAGTTGAACGAATTTTTATCTTGTCGTTATTTCTCGTTGATCATTTCGCGAAAAAGTTAATTGTTTACAATACCTTTTGTTTACATGAAGATACGGTATCGTCATGACGACCGCGTTGTATTTAGAGCATTATCTCGACAGTGAGTATTGGCGTTGTATGTACATACATTGGATACGTGTGTGCTAGCTTATTTCTTCATAAATTCTTACATTCCCTTTTTATTATTCTTCGAGAGAAATGAAGATACTGTAGGAAAATGTGGAAGATTTCAAATGCGTTTTATTATTTTTTTTTTTATTTACTTAATCTTTTCTTTTCCTCGCGTCTAACTTTTTCTATATCTTCTATATCTTCTAAAATTTTTATTTGTTTATTTATATTGTGCGAAATTTCGTTTATCTTTTAATAGAAGTTTGAAATTATAGAAACATGCTTTCTGTTAGTGTCCGAATTGAAGGATTTGATATTTGGGACTTTATTAAGATACCTAATCTAATTTTTTCAAAAATAAAAGTTGAAAAGAAAAAGAATAATTTCTAATATTTTTTTTAACTTTTTTGAGAGGTATAGTGTTTATTATGTTTATATATATATAAATCTCTAATTTATATGCAATTAAAGTTAATTTAGTATTGAATTTAATTTTTGAGATAAATTAAACTATGTATTCAAAATTAGACTCTACTTCTTGTTAATTTTTGTTTTAATAGTTTTCTTCGTAATTAAAATAGTTTACACTCACTTTACTTGAAATAGATATATGTATGAAATATTCGACAAAAGCAAAATATAAAGTTTTACTGTAGTCCAGTGCAGTTAAAGAATAGTTCCTTTAAATGTACATACAAGCATATAACAAATATGTAAAATAAAGTTTTTTAGTTAATACTGGCTGTTATTTAGAAAACTAATTAGTTAATATTTAGTGATTCTTTAATATGCTTGATTCCTATACTTGTGTTAGAGCCAGCAAAAAACTAGAGGTAAGAACCAATATTTAAAAAATAATATTAAAAAATTCTATCACTAAGCTAACTGATTAGTTTTTTCCACTGAACAGCTATTGTCTAAAATCGATGTACAGGAAATCAAAAATAGTTATCATCAAAATGATAACTAGGTAGGAGGAATTAATTTGAATATTATCTGAAAATTTTTTGATAGACTGTTGGTAAAATTTTATTCTGTAGTTTAATATAAATGATCGCTAATATAAAAAAAAGGTTGTTTTTTGAAATTTAACAAAGAGGTTATTTTTGTAGAAAATATAAGTATTAAAAATTAATAAATAAATATAAATATAAATATAAATATTAAAAATTAAAATTTTCAAATAAGTAATCACTACTATTTTACTTCAAAATTTTCAGTTTGAACTATTATAAAAGTAAAAATATTGAAGTATATATTTAAAAATTATTTTTATCTTATTTAACCATTGTTAGCAATTCTTAATCTAATATTAACAATTATATTATTAAAAAGTGCTAAAAAACAACTAAATATCCTAAAATCATTTGAATCACTATTATGATTATTCATAAGGCAAAAAAATTGCTTTTATGCACGCTTTCAATGATAATTTATAATATTGATAGCTCGAATGAATTTTTCAATCTCATAAACAATCACAATCACGATCCAAATGACTTCAGGAAGTTTGATTGCCTTTGGCATTTTTTGATAATATAATTGCCATGTTATATTGCCATGTTATATTAAGCTGCTAACAGTAAATTAAATGAAATATTTAAATACTTAAATATTTTTATTTTTATAATTGTCCAAACTATTGCATAAAATAGAAGTGGACAGTAATGACTACTTAAGGGTCGTAAAGGTTTCGTAAAGAATCCTTCTAATCGAGCAATTCTATTCGAGCATTCTCCTTACATTTGATTATGATTGGTTGGTTTCCTACCAACTTAAGACTCCACGACGTTTACGACTTCTGTCGAGGAGGATTCTTATGAAAATATTGATTTTTAATGCCATTGGTGCTTTCTCTCTCTCTCTCTCTCTCTCTCTAAAATAATTTTATTTAATTTTAAAACAATTTTTTTTTATCGACTATTTATATTAAGTTCTATTGACTAAAAGATTCTCATAATAATGCAATAATAATGCATAATATTCAAATTAATTCCGTATAATTATAGGTTTGGAAATGAACACATACATTTGATTCCTACTTATGTGCATTGCAGGTCTCGAGCATTTGCCAATTGAATTACAGAGGAATTTTACACTAATGCGTGACTTAGATGCTAGAGCGCAAGGTCTTATGAAAGATATCGATAAATTAGCAGATGATTATTTGAGGAATATGAAGAAGGAATTACCGGAAAAGAAAAAAGAACAACTCGCTCATATACAAAGTCTCTTTAACAAGGCTAAGGAATATGGAGATGACAAGGTCCAACTAGCTATTCAAACTTACGAATTAGTCGACAAGCACATCAGACGACTGGATTCAGATTTAGCAAGATTTGAGGCAGAGATACAGGACAAAACATTAAACAGCAATAGAGCGCAGGAGGAAAGCAATGCTAGCAAAAAGGGTAGGAAGAAACTCAAGGAGAAGGAGAAGAGGAAGAAGGGTACGGTAGTTAGCAGTGAGGATGAAGCCAAGAATGCAAGAAAGAAACAGAAGAAAGGTATGTTAATTAATTTATATAATTGTAACTTGCTATAATTTTATAAATTTTTAAATACTAAATCCATTACGTCTTAATATATAAATATATATATTTTCATATCAGGTGGCTCAGTAGCTTCAGCATCGTCCACCGGCGTTGTGGGAAGTGGCGCCCAGGTAGATGCAACAGCACTCGGCCATCCAGCCGACGTTCTTGACATGCCTGTCGATCCTAACGAACCGACTTACTGTCTTTGTCATCAAGTATCATATGGAGAAATGATTGGTTGTGATAATCCAGATGTAAGTTTTGTTTAAGTCTTTTTACTGCAATATCTATTAGACATTAAACGAACGAAATTTTGTTACTTATTTTTTTAATGAATTTTTTTCAATTTTCATTTTAATTCTCGATATCACAGAATCAAGATAATTAATTCTTTTTTTCATTTTAGTGCCCTATAGAATGGTTCCACTTCGCCTGCGTGGGTTTAACAACAAAACCTAAAGGAAAATGGTATTGTCCCAAATGTACGCAAGATCGCAAAAAGAAATAAATTGGAAATGATTATAATCTATTTTAAAAGATTAGTGCAAAATTGTTTCACATTGAAAGTAAATCGACTTTTGTATAAAAAATTTATAAGAGATGTAGAAAGAAGAGGAAGAGAGAGAGAGAGAGAGAGAGAGAGAGAGAGAGAGAGAGAGCTGCATTTCCATCTGCATCTAATATTAATAACAAGGCAATTTTTCTATAAATAATTTCTCCAAAAATGATTGTTGTAATAAATTAAATTTCCTTTTATCATCATAGAATTACATTATTTTTTTCTATATTAAAAGGAATCTATTGAAGCGACTATAATTTGTATATATAATGAGTTTAAGATCTGATTTTTAAATGTATCAAATAGATGATATATAAATTTTATTATTGATTCAAATATCATAAGTGAAATTTTATTATTAATTTTAGATGTAATGGAAGCACAGTTCGAATGTAAACCCATCACAGATGGAGAACGTTTTGAGAATCGGCCATCGTCTCGCTATCACTTCACAACACATTGTCTTTATATATTATATATTAAAATAGTAACTTATTATTAATAATACAAATCGCGCTTTACATTTTCGACGGCCGTTTCTTGAATATATCTGTGATTTCACTCGATAAGATTACTATATTTATCGACTTACAGTTTTAATTAGTATATTAAATTAACGTTATTGTTTTTATATGTTAAGAAACAACGCTTTATATACATGAAGTAAACTCCTGTTGATGATGAAAAGTGTATTATAAACGAAATATGGCAATATGATTAAAAAAAATATATTTAGTTTATCGAAACTTATCTTGTCTACTTTCTATGTCTACCTTTTCATCGCTAAATATTTACAAAATATATTTACAAAGATTTTCAATTAATTATTTAATAGCGCTGTCGTACAATTATGCTCGAGTAATGAATAAAATTTAGATTTGAAATTGCTTCAATTCTTTTAACGAAATGTCGCGAAGTCTGTTCGCTATAAACTTTCGCAACTTTCTTCAATAATACTGTTTGAATTATTCTTAAAAATGGCTACTTTTTTATAGCATTTGGTATCAATATATCCTAATGAAGATAAATCAGAACATAAATAGAAGGTTTATAAATATTGTAGAAGCCGTTATAAATGTATATGAGATAAACATGTTTTCTGAGCAAGTATATTAAAAAACGCGACTAGAACGTTGTAGAAATCTCCTTGTCGCATTAAGGGATACTGGATTGTCTGTTGCAGCACTGACTGGGTGGTACGGTCCAATTATACTGATAACTCATGCGATTCCTAAATTCTTTAGGACACAGTGCGCCTAAGGAGGCCTGATAATAGTCGTGCATACTCAGCATATTCTGGACCGTAAGTTTGTGCGTAATTATATACTGATTGGAACAACCACGCGATCTGTATTCCGTATCGAAGCGTACATCGTGCTTTCTCTCGATGTTCGCCAGCGGTGCAAGCCAGAGGCCGACGGAGACATCTTCGGAATTGTGTAATCTAGAATTGTGCAGATGCATGAATTTGAAAAAAAAAATAGCACAGAAAGAATTAATTAAGATTAAAGCTTGAAAAATTTTGTTAGAATTCTTTATATAATTCTTCAAAATAATTTTAATAATTTAGAAAATTTCTCAGATTTTTTTATACGAATTGATATATTTTTCATGAATTGTGAAATATTGTTTAAGATTATTCACTTTATAATTTCTGAAAACAATTTCGCTTGTAAACTCTAAAAAAGTTTTAAAATATTTTTGTAGAAATTTTCGTAACTTTAAAATATGACAAATTCTTAAAAATATGAGATTCTTAAAAATAAGAGAATTTTTTTTCCAGGGAATACACAATTATTGTTCTTCATTATATGCAGAATCTTATGTGCAAAGTGTACAGTGTTCCTTTTAGACATACATAAGAATAATATATAAAAGAAAAATTCATAACATATAAAGTATTGGTTCTAAGACAGAAGGTGGACGTCAGTGTAAAGAATAGTTCTGACATTTACTTTTGAGTCTTTTGTATCTGGAAGAATACGTATCACTAATAAATTGTAATGAATTCAGCATTTATGATAATTTTTTTTATGTAAATGTCTAATTGTAAGCGAAAGACTGATGAAAATAATTCTCATAATATATCATAATATTTTTAAAAATATGTTGATTTTATTAAATTAAGTATGAAAATTTCTGAAAAAATACCTTAAATTTTAACAGAGCTTTCATAAGCTTTCTTCAAAAATTATAAAATGAGAAATCTTAAAAGTCTTAGAATCTATTTCAGATGTGAAGGATTTTATAAAAGAGAGTTTACATATATTTTAGAAAAATCTAGAATCTCTTTTCTATCAGTTTTAAAAAGTTTCAATTCATATAAAAATTCTAAGAACTTTTCTAAAAAAAAAAAAAAGTTATAAAAAATTATATAGAAATTCTAAAAAATTATATAAAGAAATCTAAGAAAACTGTACATCAAAGTTAAATACAGAATATTTTGTACATGATTCGCAGCCTAACTCACTTAAGGATATCTGCATTCTTAGCAATGAACTCGACAAGATTGTAAGACAGAATGTATCCGCCACCTACGGCATAAGGAAGATAATAATCACACAGGATCCAATCGGTTTCCTTCCAGGGACCGCTCCTCTTCACTTGTGCTCGTCCATTGAAGAAACCCCAATAGAGTTCTCGCTTAGTGCCCTTGCTCTGCCACTTGTCGAGCTCCTTCAGGATCTTATGCACCAGCACGTACGAGTCGTCGTCGCATTTCAGCAGGTAATCGAAGTCGTAATGCTCGTGGACGGCTTTCAGGGTGTGGAGAACCTTATAGTAATAATAACAACAATAACAATTACATTGTTGAGTAGAATGATTGACAATTAAGAATTAATAAATTAATTTTATATTGTACAAAGAAATAGTGGTTATACAATAATTAAATAAGAGAATCCCTATATTCAATCAAAGCGGTCTTGTTAATGCTTAAATATTTCTGTGTGAATTTAAATACATATCTGATTGCAACGTGTGCCCCGAAATCTTATTTAATTATTAAATTTATTCTTATTAGTCCTTAAATTCGTATGATATTGTTTATTACGCGTTCTTCTTGAAACATAATGCTCGTTTACTAGTTAATGGTTATTGCGAGAAATATAATATAATATTGCTGAAATTTTGATGGTCGAATATGTCATTTTTTTTTCCATCTTGGAAGGTCAGAAGTTTCACACACACAAACTCTGACTGAAATAATATTTTTCATAATAAAATTATTTGCAGATATAAGATTTTCATTAACCTAATCTAATGATCTTATAAAGAATATTACTAACTTATTTACATAAAAAATTATTAAATTACTTGTCCTTGTCAAGAGTAATGTAGTAATTAATATTACTACTCTACTATTACTAGTTTTATTCATGATTGTGTTAAAAGATCGAAAAAGATTTCGTAGATTGCAGAATTATATGTACTTATATAAATTCCCACAGAAATATTTCAGCGCTAAGATCCACTTTGATCAAATATAGGAATTCTCTTATTTAATTAGATTTGTTCTCGTCGATCCTTACATTTGTATCATCATACATTTGTATCATCATAACATAAAGTGATTATATATTACAAATTATGATTATTATGTAAGTAATAATATACCATTAATATAATAAATGTAAACGCATAATATATCACAGTTATAATACAAAGTTTGATTATCAGACGTTTAATTATCATAGAATTATAACCCTATAGAAACAAAATTTTACCTGATATAGACATATATAAAATATACAGGGTATGTATGTGACTGAAATAATGCCAACTAATCATACAGTGCTATTCCTAATAAAAAACTAAGTTGAAAAGTTTATCATTTTGCAATTTTCGCAATAGTTAATAAGATATTAATTTCCAAATATTGCCGGAAAAATAGATAAAATCGATGTATAAGACAATTTTAAGATATTTTTTCAAGTTCTTTGTGAAATATTTTGAAGATTTTTTTTAAAGAACTCTTAAAGATATCTTATACGTTAATTTTATACATTTTGCTCATTGGGTAACTAAAAAAAATATTGCGAAAAGTGGACGTTATTTGATAGAATATTGGATTACATTGGTTATTACCTTTTTCGTCAATGTGCCATAAGAGTCCTGCAGCCTGGGCAACAGTAACAGATCATCGAATTTCTGTTTCTCTGATTGCAAAGTATTCCTCTGCTCGGGTAGGATATCCTGAGTGCCGATGACAAAGAAGTGCTTCACTGTAGCATCGTGCTCGGTCAGCCAGGTCTTCCTGATGGTATTACGGCGCTCTAGGTTGTCTGGGCTGCTTAGAATCAGGGCAATCAGCCGATGCTTGAGCTTGCTTCCTGAAGTCTGTCGGTTTGATTGACAGTCCCGCTCGGGCAGGTAGCGCACGCACAGGAAGACGAAGACTACTGCGAACAGGAACGCGAGGACGTTTGTCCGGGCGAGGAACCTCCGCCGCATGATCGACTGGAGTTTAGGCATGAGATCAAGTCGCAAATATGTCATGAGTCAGTTTGGGGAACGCCGTGGGAAGAAATCACGAGAGCACGTCGATCAAATTCGCATAACCAGACCTCTTCTCGGAGATAACACGGCTAGTAATAATTCGCTTTCTGATTCTTTCTCAAATCTCCAACCTTCTGTACCTACCTCCACGTAGAATGAATAAACACAAATTCTGTTGAATAAATACAAAACTTTGTTAATAATTATTATCTATTAATCTAGTTAGTTTCATCAGAAATTTTCAAGATTTTAGCATCCGCACTTGATAAATTCTTCACGCTTCTGATGTAGAACTTCTGATGATGAACTCCTGACAGACTTTCAAATTCGCACAGCCAGTGCTGTAAACTGAAACACCTTCGATCTCAGAATTGCGATACAAATTGCATACACGTGTAGATGTAATTCAAAAATATAAAATAAATATCAGAGAAAAGAAAGACCGAGTCTTTAATTACAGTTCTCGCGCTTCGTCTTCGTTTGCATTATAATCTTCAGCCCTCGATGATATATTTCGCTGTGATGATATTTCCGTGAGAAATGAGACCACCGTAACTATGAAGTACCGACTCGTTTGACAATGACGAGACAATTCCGAAATCCATAATATAAATTCTCGATCTGCAACAACTACAAATGTCAATGATCAGCTGTATTCTGTGAATCAGCTGATCGGCGTAATTCCGAGCAGACAAGTCGGATTAAAGTTAGATTAGGTTAGGTTAGCATGGGATATTGACATACGACATGTGCGACGTGCAATAGCAAGTGACAACAAGCGCTCAAGATAGATAAGTGTTTATATTTTATATATTTATGTATTTAGAAAATACATATTTAAAATATGAAAATCAAGAGTCTCGAGATTGTGAATTTTTAAATTTCCCTAATTTATTAATTATACAACGGCCCAGATTATTAATTATATATTATTAATTACAATACAGAGAAGAATTATTTTTTTATTCCCGATTTACGAAATGAATTCCTATTTCATCACATTTTCTGTTCAAAATGTTTCTAAGAATTAATTCTTTATTTTTTAAATTTTGTATAAGAATAAATTATATTTTGGTTTTTACTTCGGTTTTCATGTAAATTAAATATTACTTTTATTAAAAGTAACGTAAAAGTAACACAAATGCATAATAAATATATTTAAGATGAATTCTTTTTGAGTTGAAATGAATTAGTTCAGTTGTGCTGTTTGAGACAGCACAATATTAATATTTCAAAAATAAATATTAGAATTTTTCATGTGTGAATTTCGAAATATTTTAAGATTTCTCATTCTATAATTTCTAAAAAAATAACTTTTTTCAGGTTTGATAAGATTTTATCAGAAATTATATAGAATGAAAAATTTTAGAAATTTTATTTTAGTATATCTCAGAATTCATATATAGAAATGTTCCTTGAATCGGTCCATCCTCGAATCACCACTTTATGTATGTTTCGATTCTTTTTTATATTTCGACAACTGTTTCTGGTTGTATTCGAAAATTTATTGCCAGTAATTATTGAAATCTACATATATATATTTTCTACAGTTATGTTTGCAAGTAATAAACTGTAGATCTTATATACAATCTATAAGATCTATGATATAATTGAATTATCTTAGAATCGAATAATTAATCTAATAATCTGACACATATTGTTATATCGATGAATTCATTTTTTTTATATACTATAAAAATATGGAAAAAAAATATTGTATGATTTCATTTAAAAAATTTGATGATTTTTTGGGATTAAAAAATGAACAATTTTGACTTTTTTCTTACCTTCAATTAATTTTTCACTAAAAACTACAAATTTTTGTTAGAAACATTTTGTCGTCGACCCATCAGCTTAAAAATTATTGCGATTCGAGGAACACGTATGTATCTTTTATATAAGAATTGTTTTAGAAAAAAATGTAGATATTCTCGATACTTTTAAAGTACTCCAATTTGTACAAAGAATTAAACATTTCTAAAAAGTTATAAAATTTTCATTAGAGTAGACGTAAGATCCGTTGACCATTCTGTCGTTATTTATCTTTGTATTGCGCTCTTGAATTCCTTTCTTCTTTCATCTTTTTCGAGACATAAAAAGAAATAATTTTATGTATCTGTAATTGTATCTTTAAAAAATGTTGAATTTACGACATTAAAGTGCAAACTGCTTCTGCGGTATTTATGCTATCTGTGATTTCGTTATTCAGGAATAAGCTCCGCAAAGTTTACATTTCTTGATACACCGCGAAATTCTTGTTTGAAGATTTAGCGTTCGAAGAATTTGTGAAGAACATAATTTATTGTTGGAAATCCAATAATGAAAACGTTTGCTCGGAAATATAAAATAACTAAACTTCTGAAAAGACTCACGGAAGAATTTTTTCTTTTCATCATTAAGTATCATTACCCGTTCTCGATTGCCGCAGTCCGCAGCTCTCTTTACATAGTCACCGTAGACTCGCGATGAAATAAAGTACAATGGTCTCATTGGCAAAACGACGTTTGATATTGATACAAATAAATTATCGTTTTTTTTTCTCTTGATACACATTTATAATCGTTACGTACAACACACTCAATTTGGCACTGTTTTAGTTACGTGATGAATCCCGATCCTGATGTGAAATTCTTGAATTGCAAATTCGATAACTGTGATTCGGAAACACAGATTTCGATGTGATATGCGTTCTCCAGATAAGGCACATAGTGAGGTGCGCAAGCTATGTCAAATCGAAACGAAACTCGATGCCAGTGAAAACGTAATGCAAAAGTTCAGAAATGCTATCGGGATATAGTGCCATCAAATACAACTATCCATAAAAATCTACTTAAGCTAGCGTACGATTATCATCTGCGGCTTAAAAGTAATTATATTTACTCCTCACGTAAAATGTATCCTCGTCTAATTAAACCACACAGTTGACTCTTAGTACGAAGAATATGTATATAATCATCACATGTATATCAACAGATTTGTATTTCGATTATTACTACAACTGATTTTACTCAACAATCTTGTGTCGCAGATTTAGCATTGCGCACAAGTGTAGGTGTGTATGCGTTTTATGTGTGTAATTGTTGCAATATGGCAAAGGAAATGTGAAGTCGCATGCAAATTTTCATTGTTAAAAACCCTACTTGTTAACAATAATTCAATAGCGAAATTTCACGAAAATAGTATATATATATATATATTTTTTTTTTTTTGCGGAATAATGGAAACTATAAAATATGTCCTTTACCATATACTTTGATGCGACCAACGCTGCAGTTTGTATAAAAAAATCGATAAAATACAGAATCACATTATTATAACAGCATTCTTTTTACGTTTTGATTTTATTTTTAACTGTGATATACACATACATAACAAATAGATAGAATTGTTATTTATCTCTGTAGAATATAATGAAATTTAAAATGTTTCATAAGATTCATTAAAAAAATTAATTTTAAAAATATTTTTTAAAATTTCGTAAAAAAAATATTATATACTTTGATAATCTATAAGAATGACAAAAGACAATATAACGAAGATATATGTACATCTTCATGATTTATAAAAAATACAAGAAAATGTTGTAAATTCTAAACATACTGTGAAATCACTTTTTCCGTTATTTTTCATTTTACTATGTTCATGTGATTCTGATTTTATCCATTTTAAGAAGTATTTTACAAAAAGATTAATTTAAAAATTTTCGAGACGTACGAAGTAAAAATTTTTCGATCAACTCCTCTTCTCTTTTTCGTTACGTCTAAAACTGTGAAAATATTAATTTGCTCTCTATCGTAAGTCTATTTAATTAAGTACAAAAGAGTTTTATTTCAACATTGCCTATCTTTTTTTTTCCTAGCATGAGGCATATATATACATATAAACGTATATATGTATACATATATACATATACATATATTTAGCAGCTAATCTGTATATAATACATAAACATGATGACTCTGTGTAGCATACTCAATTGATTTCTTTATGTAACTAAAGTCTTGCTAAGAGAAACTGCTTATATTTTGAACGAATAAATTAAACTATCAAGCATTTTCTCTCTCTCTCTCCCTCTCTTTCATTTGTTCTTATTTATACGAATTTCGCATTTCGCAATCTTTATCCTGTTTGATGTATTAATCACAAAGAAAAAAAGAAAGAAAAAAAAATGATCGAATACTAATATTTACATAACAGACGCAATACGAATGATACAATTCGGTTATGTAAAACTACAGCCATTATTGATTAGAGTAAGTGTATACTCTTAAGCCAGTACATGGATGATAATGTTTTTATGTATTCGCCTCGTTCGTTTGTCCTCATGACATTGACAATGTTATCAGACACACTTGAGCAGTTCATTACTACCGATGTGTTGTAATAAATGTATTTTTCGAATATTTACGCCAGTGTTCGCCAAGATTTGCACATTTCAGGCTGATTTCGGCGAGCGATCCCCACTACCGCTCGAAGCTTGGCGACCAAACCTGGCGACCAAACTTCAGGAACGTCTCTAGCTTAAACGTGCGGATGTCGTTATTAAAGAATATTTTTCTTGCAAAATAATTTATTTTAAATACTAAATTTTCTAAAACATTTCGTTATAATAATTCTTGCCTAGAAATTATTCAGTAATTGTTATAAATTTACATCAAGAAGTTTCTATATCATCTTTATGTAATTGTTTAATATTCTTTTTTAAACAATTACATAAAGACAGTGTTACATACGTAAGAGAATGTTAACAACTAATCGTTAATCAAGAATTTAAAATGATAAAATTATATTCGCTTATAGAAAAAAATAGTTATTGCGATATCCTTGAGATTTTGTAAGATTTCGTATGGAAAACACGGAATTTTCAGAGTATTTCCTAACTTCAATCTACGCAAATCTGTTGTAGAAACTTCTCCATGTAAATTTATATACAATTATTGAATGATTTTTGATAAGCAAGAATTATTATAACAAAATGTTTTAGAAAATTTAGTATTTGATTTTTTTAAGAAAATAAAAATTATTTTGCAAGAAAAATATTCTTTAATAACGTAAGGTACGCACGTTTAAACTACAGAAATGCTCTTGAGCTAGAGCGTGACCGGCGGCTCGGCCGCCGAGCCTCGAGCAGTAGTGGAGATAGCGCGCTGGAATCGGCCCGAAATGTGCAAATCTTTGTGAGCACTGATTTACGCCTTGCAATCAATTATGTATTAGAATCTGAAAGAAGCGAAAGTATCAAAAGCTAGATGTTGACAAACATTTACTGATCAGATTAATTTACGTTTTGTACAGATAGAAAGTAACACATTACTTGTAATGCCGATAGCGTTATTTTTTTGTAATAAATGATTTGATAATGACGTTACAATTATTTTTGAGTAATGATGATGAACGCCAGATTTGGAAACAATCATTTCTGTTTTTAGAAGTGATCTGTTATTGTTACTCGTTATTCATTGAAAAAAAATAATTCGGTACTTTAATTGTTACGTAACGAGTAACGCATTAGTAACATGTTTTATTCGATACGCAACAAGTAATAAGTTACTGATGCGTTTTTTTTAATAAGTAATGCGTAATGTGTGCAGAAAGTTATTTTTTAAAAGTGACTTTTCTAATAACGTTATTATCATTACCATTATGAGTGTAATTGTAATGTTATTTACAATTTATTATTATTAAACCGTTATTATTGGTATTAGTAATATGTTAAAGTAATAATAACGGTAACGGCATTACAAGCAATTTCTACTCTTGTATGTGCCGAGACTTTTTTTTTACTATCTAAAATTTATCCTGAAATAGCTTGAGAAATAATACCTAGCCGATTTTAGCTTTTGGTACTCTCTGGATCTTGGCGAATGTATCAATTAAGAACATTAGCCCAAGAGTTCAGAACGCAATCAAGATTGTTTATTCAGTGATGGAGATCTGAGCAAATCCTATTAACGCCTTGTCATCTGGTATTTCGTTCATCGCATAACCAGTGTTCTATAAGAGAAGAGTACATTTAATAAATATAATCAAATTAAATGAAATAAAAATACATTTTGAATTATTATACATATATGTAATATTTAAATATACAATTTTTATATCTTTTACAATTAAAAACAACATGAAGACTATTTACCAAGGAAAATGTCACTGTTCGCAATTGTCCTGCACTCTCTATCAATTTTTTTAGATTTGTTTCTATCACTATAATGTCCTTGCCATCGACCAATCCCGCAGCAACTAATTCCGCTGCGATACCTTGTGCGGAGTCAACTCCAACAGTAAAATCGAATCTAATATCATTTAGCTCCCGTTTTTCATTTCTGAAAAGTATTTTCAGATGATTATCTCATATTTTTTAAAAATGCGTTAGATACTGAGGTTGTTATCATCTATAAAAAATGTATAAGTATATGAAAATAATATTTTCATTTGGATTTCACATACCGTAATCTAAGCACCAAGTTTATAGGCGTGTTTTTTCCAGTTCCTGACAAAGCCATTTGGCTCGGTGCTACCCTAATTTGACCATAGAATTCGTCAGGCTCGCCAGCTTCTTCGTCGCTGCTAGCCTTTTCGATTGTGTTGACTGGTAACGTCTCTTTGCCTTCATCACTACTCGAGTCACCATTGTTCTCTTCTTCTGACCAGACCCATTCTCCAGTTACTGTTCGATGCAACCGACCTGACGTGCCAGGTTGTCTTTTTGATGCCTGCAAAAGAAAATTTTTCTTAATATTTTTTAAGAACGCTAAACACAATTTTTCAATTATAATTTTTGCAAAAGCTCAATAAAAGGAATTACGTATAAATTTGCATATGCTGCAAATAATTGATAATAAGAATACCTTTTGTACACGTGTTTCTAAACTTGGTCCAATCGCTACTAATGTTTGCTGTAGATATTTTTTATCTTTGGCTTTTTTAAAAAAGGGATGTTTTAGCAACTCAGTGGCTGTTGGTCTAAAAAAGTATACACATTATTATTTGTAATATTTTAATTTTATACACTTATCCGTTTCTATTCTTAATTTTTCTACTTAACAATCTATACTATAAACCATATTATGATAATATCATCTTCAAGTAATGTCGAATACATCTAACACATTACCCAGTTGCTCCAACTATTCCAACTACTTCGGTAGATAGAATAGAAATAGCAATGTAAATGAAATAATAGGATCCTTACCTCTTAGTGGGATCTTTTTGTAAACAGTCGACGATCATTTTTCGGAATGTTTTTCCGTATGCTTTGTATTGGTCCTTGTCATCCGCAGCGGTATCCAAAGTCGGCGGATCGTTCTGCAACGTCAGCATCAAGACCTTCATCGGGGGATATTTGTGATATGGCGCCGTACCGCTTGCCATCTCGATCGCCGTGATGCCAAGTGACCATACATCGGCCTTAAAATCGTAGCCATGGTCCTGCACAAACAGATATGCATATCATAATTGATTCTACAATAGATAGTATATGTGAGATTGCCAATATCTCATGAAATCGTGCTTGCAAAAGTCACATGCTTGCCAGTACCTTCTGAATGTGATTTATAACTGCATTCATATACACGTACACAGTGACTCATCATTATCGGAAAATATTTTTGTATTTGATATCGATTTCTCTATTGACATAGCAATTATATCTAACTTTATTCTGCAAAAAGTATCTTTGCTAACTTTCAAAAAATCTATATATATATATATATATA